TTATTATTATTATTATTATTATTATTATTATTATTATTATTATTATTTACACAGGGTAGTATTATTTACACAAATGGAAACATTTTGAACTCAGAAGAAAAAAATCTGAGCTGTTTAGCCAAGAACTGGATAACTGATTCCCTCTGAGCAGAAACATGTACGGTAGGTGGAAACAAGACTAATGCGATCAACGTACCTGCAAATGCCAACTTCAACGCTTTGTATACGCAGGGCTTCTGCTGTGGGCTTCTGTAGAGTGTAGGCAGAAAGACCTTTTCCGAGGTTACCTGGACAAAGAGGTAAGCACAGCCCACCCACTCATCCATCCTGGCTGCCATCCTGGAAGTGCCTCCTGAAATGGAACACAGATTAACTGTCACTAGACAGGCCTTCAAACCTCCTCATCCGAAGACCAAGTCCTCGACTTCAAAACAGTTCGTTTAGTGGCCAAAGCGACTTTAGAAGATGTTACTGCAAGTCGTTCTGGACTTAGGACCATTTGTTTACTGGCCGTTGGAAGGGACAAAGGCACTGGAAACAGGGACTTACAAGCAGTTCTTGGACTTACGACCATCACAGTGTCCTTGTGGTTCATATGATTTAATTTAGGAGCTTGGCAACAGGGATGTAACGAGCCTAATGCACATAATCCCCAAATTAGAATAGAATAAGAGAGTTGGAAGGGCCCTTGGAGGTCTTCTAGTCCAGCCCCCTGCTCAAGCAGGAGAATCTATACCATTTCAGGTAAGTGACTGTCTGGTCTCTTCTTAAAAGCCTCCAGTGATGAAGCATCCACAATTTCTGAAGGCAACTTCTGTTCCCAGGGGTGGGATTCAAAAATTTTAACAACCGGTTCTGTGGGCGTGGCTTAGGTGGTAGGCGTGGCTTGGTGGCCATGTTACTGGCTGGGCGTGGCCAACTCAACATCACTCACATCGAGGCACGCATCTCCTCGCCTGGCCTCTCATGACCGTGGGGATGCTGCAACAGTCGTAAGTGTGAAAAATGGTCCTAAGTCACTTTTTTCAGTGCCATTGTAACTTTGAATGGTCACTCCACAAAAGCAAAGTACCAGCAAAGGAGGGGAAAAAAACTCCAGAGACAGGAAGTCTAGTCTTGCCAAGAATGTAATAAGGGTTAACAGAGGCAGTTTCTGTAAGCAACCCCAGAATGTTTCCTTCTTGCCTTCCTTACAGGATTAGGCCAGTAATTTCTTCTAACAACCGGTTCTCTGAACTGCTTAGAATGTTAACCGGTTCTAGTGAATAGGTGCAAACTGGTAGAATCCCACCCCTGTTCTGTTCCACCAGTTAATTGTCCTCCCTGATAGGAAGTTTCTCCTTAATTCCAGGTTGCTTCTCTCTTTGGTTAGTTTCTAACCATTGTTTCTTGTCCTGCCCTCTGGTGCTTTGGAAAATAATTTGACCCTCTCTTTGTGGCAGTTTAGTTTAATTTACTTTATTGTCATTGCACCTCATACAACGAAATTAAATACCATCTTCGGTGTACACTATGACAAATAATAACATAACTAATAAATAAACAATAGTAAATAATAACAGCCCCTCAAATACTGGAATACTGCTATCATGTCACCCCTAATTCTTCTTTTCTCTAGATTTAGCCAGACCCAAGTCCTGCAGCTGTTCTTCATATGTTTTAGGGTCCAGGCCTTTGATCATCTTAGTTGCTCTTCTCTGAACTTTTTCCAAAGCCTCAACATGTTTTGTAATGTGATGACCAAAATTGGCTGCAGTATTCCAGGTGTGGTCTTACTAAGGCTTTACAAAGTGATATTAATGCTTCATGTGATCCTGATTCTATGCCTCTATTTATACAACCCAGGATTGTATTAGATTGTATTGCAACCATTCATGTATCAACCATTCAAAGTTACAATGACACTGAAAAAAGCAACAGCCAAAAAAAAAAAAAAAAGCAATTTACAATTGGTCCTTGCACTTATAATCATTGCAACAACATTCCCACAGTCAAGGCCACTTGGAAACTGACATGTGTTTATGACGGTTGCAGCATCCTAAATACCATTCATGATCTTCCCAGCTAACATGTAAATTTAGTAACTTTCAACATGTAAAGGCAATGGGAAGAGGCAGATTTGCTTAAAGACTTTGTCATTCACTTAAAAACTGCAAAACATTTACTTAACAACCCTGGCAAAAAAAAAAACATCACAAAATTTGGCATGACCCACTCAACAATCACTTTCCTTAACAACGGAAATTCTGGCCCTGAGTGTCATCGTAACTCAAAAACTACTTGTGGCTTGTTTTACATTAATGGGACGCGCATTGTGATTTATTCTGCAGATTGTGCTGAGTCTACCATTTTTAAACATGGTTGCATTGGATCAATTGCATCCAGTTTTGGTCACCACACTTTAAAAAAGATGTTGAGACTCTGGAAAGAGTGCAGAGAAGAGCAACCAGGATGATGAGGGGGCTAAAACATATGAAGAATGGTTGCAGGAACTGGGCCTGGCTAGTCTAGTGGAGAGAAGGACCAGGGGAGACACGAGAGCATCTTCCAATATTTGAGGGACTGCCCCAGAGAGGAGGGGGTCAAGCTATTTTCTAAAGCATCCGAAGGCCAGACAAGGAATAATGGGTGGAAACTGATCAAGGAGAGATTCAACCTGGAAATAAAGAGAAACTTTCTGACAGTGACAACAATCAACCCCTGGAACAAAAGTTTTTCTTCAGAAGTTGTGGGAGCTTCATTACTGGAGGCTTTCAAGAAGAGACTGGACTGTCAGAAATAGTGTAGGGTCTCCTGCTTGGGTGGGGGGTTGGACTAGATGACCTACAAGGTCCCTTCCAACTCTGTTTAGTCTGTTAAAAAAACTTTTCAGAATGTAGCCCAACACACCCCTGCCTTTCCCTCCATCAAACATGAGCAAAGGTAGACGTGCAAAGGCCATGTTGTATGCGAGTCACCTTCAGTAGCATACCAACTCCTAGCGATTCATTTAACAACGATGACAAAAAATGGTCCCAAAATCGGGCGCCACTGACTTAACATTTGCCTGGCTGAAGAACAGAAACTGTGGTCCCAACTAGTCCTGGGTCATGTGGTTGCACCCCCCCTTTTTTAATGCAAGAAGAATACAGGAAGTTCTCAACTTACAACAATTCATTTAGTGACCGAAGTTACAACGGCACTGAAAAAAAGTGACTTGTGACTATTTTTCACACTTACGACCGTTGCAACATCTCCCTAGTCACCTGATCAAAATTCAGATGCTTGGCAAGTGGTTCATATTTACGACGGTCGCAGCATCCCAGCATCCCACAAGCCGGGGTGGGATTAAACCGGTTCGATCCCCTTATACGACCTTCTCATGGACAAGCAAAGTCAATAAGAATTCACTTCACAATGGCATGACTAATGTAACAATTGCAAGGATTCCCTTAACAAATGTGGCAAGGGAAGTCGTAAAATGGGTCATAACTCCCGTAAAGAATGTTTCACTTAGCAACAGAATTTCGGGCTCAGTTGTGGTCGTAAGTCAAGGACTACCTGCATAGACCCGTTCAGCAAATCCATTGGCGAGATCGGCAATCTGGTGGCTTTCCGCTCAGAATTCCTTACCCTGCCTTGCAATCAACTGGGAATACAGGTCTCGACTTACAACAGTTCATTTAGTGACCAAAATTACAATGACAGAGGAAAAAAAAGTCACTTATGACCATTTTTCACACTTGTGACCATTGCAGCATTCCCCACGCTCCTGTGATCCAAATCCCAAGGCTTGGCAATGGACTCGTTCTTACGACGATTGCTTGTGTCCCAGGGTCACGAAGGGGTGGGAATCTACAGGTTCGGACCGGTTGTATAGAACCGGCGGTTACGATTCTGCGCACTTTGGAGGAGCGGCAAATCGTGCCCCTTGCTTGGCCCTGCCCCTCTCCACCCTCCCCTCCCCGTCAGTCCTTATCGCATCACGGACTGCATTCTCCCTCACCTGTCACTCCTTATGGTATTTTTTTTTCCTCCCAACGATCAGCTGTTCCAAGGATCCCCCTTGCTGTCTTACTGCTTGGCCCAGGAGGCTTCCCTGAGGCCCAGGAAGCAAAAAGGTGTGTGTGTGTGTGTGTATGTCTGTCTGTCTGTCTGTCTGTCTGTCTGTCTGTCTGTGTGTGTGTGCTGTGCACCACCAACCACCACCACCCCGCGCTCCATTTTTGGCCTCGGGAAGCTTCCTGTGAGCAAAAATGCTCTCCCCCAGGTGGTGTCCCTGAGGCCCAGGAGGCAAAAAACCCCAACCTGAGGTAGGGGGTGCTGCAAAAACAAAACAAAACAAAAACAAAACCCAGTCACATGGCCACGCCCACAGAATTGGTTGCAAAAAATATTTGCATCCCACCGCCTGCTCGCAAGCCAAGTCCACGGGGGAAAAAAAGATTTGTTTAACAACCACGTGACCCACTGAACACCTGCAATGATTCCAAACGGGGCAAACCTCTTTCTTTTAAGCGCCGTTTTGCTGATAACCAGACCACGTCGGGAGTCCCACGGTGAGGCCTTACCTCTTTTCTAGGGTTAGGGCTGGAGGGGTAGAAAGGAGGTTGGTGCCACTTGGGTTGAAATGGCTTTAATTCCGGACTAGAACCACCTCGGGGGAACCCGGCAACCTCGCCGCGTCCCTTTCGGCCCCCCTCCCTCCTCGTCCTAACGGCGGACCAAGGAACCCCCCTACCCCCACACCTCCCTCCGCCTTTCCCGGGCCAACGAACGGAGTTGCAAAGGAGCGCTGCTGCTTGGAAAGGGAGTCGCCTCTTCCCGGAAAGGCCGAGAGATTCCCCCAACCACCCCGCTCCGGGGGAAGCCCTTCCATTCCCACGCGCGCGTGGTAGGAATCGGGGCCAATCTCCCCCACCCCGACCCCGCGAAAAAGGGAAAGTCATTATCACCCCCCCCCCTCTTTTTTTGCCCTCCCCCGGGTTGGATCTGGCCCCCACTTTCGCTTTCCTTTAGAGCCCCCGCGTCCGTCCCCCCAAAAGGGAAAGTTATCGTGACCCCCTGCTGGTTAGAACCGCGTCCCACTTTCGCTTTCTTTTGAAGCCCCCTTCCCAGTCCCGGGGACGCAGGCCAAGGAGGGTGGCTAAAAAGCGAGAGTGCTTTCCACCCCCTCCTTCTCCAGTCCGACACGTGGGGGCGGCGATCGGCGGCAGCTCCAGCTTTCTTTCACACACACACACACACACACACACCATCCATCCACCCACCCACCCACGCCGGCCTCGCTTCTGTCCGCCCCCGAGGAGGCGACCTCTGGATCCAGCTGCAGGGGGTGGGTGGGGGGGAGGAGGGCAGGAGGAGGAAGCGCTTCGCGGGGAAAAGCCCCGGGCTGGGTTCCTTGGCGAGCCCAGGTGGGACAGGCAGGGCTGTGGGGCCTGATGGGACCCTTGCCCCCGGGGGCCCCTCCCTCCCCCCCTCCCCAGCATAGGGGCCTCCCTACTGATCCGTGCACGTTCATTCATTTGCAATTTGAATTGAATCGAATTGGTCCTTTGCATGTCAATCAATCTGTGCATGTTAGTTCGTGCCCCTTGCGTCGTATCAATCCAGCAAATCCTCTTTACTACCTTTTTATTCTTCATGACCTTTATTATTACCTTTCCCCGCATTTTTTTAAAAAAATTTAATACTTAACACGCATCCATAGAAATTCACCCCATTTTGATTGGTGGGGAGTCCGCCCAGAAAATAAATCGACCTGTGTTTAATTGGATGGACCATCGACAGGTTTCATTCCTGGGAGTAGTTAATTGTCTTAGCTTTCCCTCCCCCCCACCCCAGGACCCATAATGCTGGTAAAAGACAGCCCTGCCGGAGGAGGGGGAAGGGCGGAATCGCGGAGAGGGGCGAGCGAGCCAACTTGGCGCGCGATCCGGACCGATCCCACAAACTCCGGATCGCCCCCAACCCTCTTTTTGAAAGCGCTCTGCCGTCCTTCGCCAAGGAAGGGCAGGAAAGGGCGCATTCCCACGACACGCGCGGGACACGGAGAAGGGTTGGGCAAAACCCGGGCGCCGATCCGGGGTCCGGTTTCTCGCGCAACCGCTCCCTCCCCCCCCGCCCCCGCTCCACCTCCCGGAGCTCACACGGAACACCCCCTCCCGCCTTGCGGAGGTCGACGGACAGAGAAGCCGGTTCCAGGGCCCGCGAGTTCGAATCCCCCGGTAAGGCTTTTTGGCGCCGATCGGCCTGCTGGGCGAATCCGGGCGGGATCCTCGACCACCCACCGCCCCCAACTCCCCCGGCCCCGCAAAGCCCCCCCCCCCGATGCCTACCCGCGTCCTAAGTAGCCGAGCCCCGCCGGCCGCCTTTCCGCCTTGACGCGTCACAGAAGTTCAGGGCGGAGGTTGCCAGCCGGGCACGTGCGCGCTTCCCCGGGATAGGATCGGGCGCCGCTGCCTCGTAGGCGACGGAGCCGGGAAGTCTCGCGCGCGCGGTGGGCGGGGGGGGGGGCGCGTTTTTTTTTTTTTTCCCCGTGCACCGTGAATGGAAAAGTCCGGCCCATTCAGAAAAAAAAAAGTTTCGGAAGTTCGGCCAGTTACTTTGTAGCCCAAGCGAGATCATCGCCGCCGCCTTGGCTCCAACTGGCCGGAGGAGCCGTCCATCCGCCCGGGAGCCTCGCTTTCATTGGCCGAGAGTGGGCGGGAGGCGGATGCGGAATTCCTTACGGGCCAATCAAGAGCAAGAGCCCTGGGCACGTCATGCTCCAGACCTTATTAGGAAGCCATCGCCTTGGCAAAGGGAAGTGTGTGTGTGCGTGTGTTTGTTTGTTTGTTTTGGTTTTTGCCTACGGGGAGAAATTGCAAGAAATTCTTCTCCCTTTAGCTCTTTCTGCTTTTCTTTTTTAGGTAGGTAGGGAGAGCGGGCTGGGTGATTTGGAAAGGGGAGCAAAATAGAGGGGCAAAGAAAAGAGGGCCTCTGAGCATGTCCAGAGTGCCCGACCCTTGTCTCCCCTGGCTCATTTATCATAATCGGGGCAGGGGCCTCCAACCTTGGCAGAATTCTGGGAGTTGAAGTCCTTCCAGGCTTAAAGTTGCCAAGGTTGGACACCCCTAACCAGGGGGGAACCGTGTCGTACAGGGGCCAACCAGGTTGGGGTGGGACGGGGGTGTTGCAGAATAGAGCCAGGCAGGATTTCTCCTTTTCCTGCTGGCATTCAGGAGGCAGCATCCAATCCTGATGAGGAAGCAGCCTGACACCCCCCTCCTCAATGAGTTAGTCTGGTCTAACGGATAACAGATAATCAGAGTTGGAAGGGACCTTATAGGTCATCTAGTCCAACCCCCCACCCAAGCGGGAGACCCGACACTATTTCTGACAAATTGCAGTCCAATCTCTTCTTGAAGGTCTCAAGTTATGGCGCTCCCACAATGTCCGGGGGCAGCTTCTGTTCCCTTGGTTGATTGTTCTCACTGTCAGAAAGTTTCTCCTAATTTCCAGGTTGAATCTCTCCTTGATCAGTTTCCATCCATTATTCCTTGTCTGGCCTTCAGGTGCCTTGGAGAATAGCTTGACCCCCTTCCTCCTCTCTGTGGCAGCCCCTCAAGTATTGGAAGACTGCTATCCTGTCTCCCCTGGTCCTTCTCTTCCCTAGACCAGCCAGGCCCAATTCCTACAACTGTTCATCATATGTTTTGGTCTCCAGTCCCATAATCATCCTGGTTTCTCTTCTCTGCACTCTTTCTAGAGTCTCAACATTTTTTTTATAGTCTGGTGATCAAAACTGGATGCAGTACTCTAGGTGTGGTCTTACTAAGGCTTTATAGAGTGGTATTAGTACCTCCCTTGATCTTGATTGTATCCCTCTGTTAATACAATTTAGGACTGCATTAGCTTTTTTGGCTGCTGCTACACAGTGCTTGCTCATATTTAGCTGGTTGTCCACTAAGACCCCAAGATCCCTCTCACAGTAACTGCTATTGAGCCTGGTTTCACCTGGTATATATGTGTCCTTTTGGTTTTTCTTGCCTAAGTGTAGGACTTTACTTTCCTCTACATTAAATTTCATTTTGTTAGACACGGCCCAGTGTTCTAGTCTGTCAAGATCCCTCTGGATCTTGAGCCTATCTTCTTGGGTGTTGGCTATTCCTGCCAGTTTAGTATCATCTGCAAATTTGGTAAGTTCCCCTTCTATTCCCTCATCTAGGTCATTAATGAAGATATTGAAGAGTCCTGGGCCTAAGACGGAACCTTGTGGCACCCCACTGCTTAGTTCCCTCCATGTAGACTTAGACCCATTAAGGACTACTCGTTGAGTACGGTTTGTCAGCCAGTTGTGAGTCCATCTAGTGGTGGTCTCTTTGTGCAGCCTTTCCTAACCTTTTAGATATGTTTAGAAACTCAAAAGTCCTTGGCCACCTTATGAGAAGGAAGGACTCCCTGGAGAAGAGCCTAATGCTGGGGAAAAGGGAGGGCAATAGAAGAAGAAGGGGACGACAGAGAATGAGGGGGCTGGATGGAGTCACTGAAGCAGTCAGTGTGACCTTAAATGGACTCCAGAAGATGGTAGAACGCAGGAAGGCTGGGAGGAATGTTGTCCATGGGGTTGCAATGGGTTGGACATGACTTTGCAACTAACAACAACAACAAACTGGCTATTGCACACCCAGACAGTTGAAGAAGAGGGCAACTATGGTCATTATGATGATATCACAATTAACAATCTATCAGCCCTTCAGGCAGGAACCCAAAATTCTGAGTGAAAACAATACCTTTATTGCAAGGTTCCGGTGAGACAATTTTGCAAGTCTGCAAAGCGCTTCCCCTCTCTTGCCTTTTATGGAGTGGAATGGGGAGGGGGATCCCCAGGAGGGGGAGCAGAGGTGGGTATTCAACCGGTTCTGACCAGTTCTGGAGAACCGGTAGCGGAAATTTTGAATAGTTCAGAGAACCAGCCAATCCCGCCCCTGACTGGCCCCACTAACCCCATCCATCTCTTCTCCGTCTCCCATCGAGTCCCAGCTGATCGGTTGGGTCTCCTTTGGTTGCCCTGCACAGGAGAACGGAGCTGGAAAGCAGGTCAGTGGGGTGATTAGAGAATGGGGATTTTGCAATATCCTTCCCCTGCCACACCCACCAAGCCACGTCCACAGAACCGGTAGTAAAAAAAAATTGAGTCCCATCACTGCTAGCAGTGATCGTAAGTGTGAAAGATGGTCATAAATGAATGGTTTGAAGACTACCTGTATTTTGCCCTCAGAGCCTACAGTACCCAGGTCAGCCACTGGGGGCAGTAAATCATACAGTATACATGTTGCATGGCTGTTTTAGAACATCCTTCCAACCTCTGATATGACGCCTCCTTATGGGTTTTACTGTGCTGGTTTTTCTGACCTTTGAGTCTAACTGGCCTGATATAAAGACTTTTTTTTTTTCATTCAGTTACTCAGAATTGTGGAGTTGTAACCAGGCAGAATGTCAGGTGGTGCTCCATTCAAAATTCAAGAAAGAAAAACTTAGACTCTTTAGATTAGAGCAGGGGTGTCCAACCTTGGCAACTTTAAGACTTGTGGACTTCAACTCCCAGAATTCCTCAGCCAGCAAAGCTGGCTGAGGAATTCTGGGAGTTGAAG